CATGGACCCACTATATTCACACGGAGCAACCAGAGATTCCAGTAGCCTCCCCTTGGGGTTCTCTACCCCCATTTCCACCAACCCCTCCTCTCATCCTTCCGTCTCCTGCTTATGCTTCCTGCCCTTGCACGAGGCCGTGAATCAGGCTTGGTCACTGCACTCTGGCTTTATGCTTTGCCCTCTGGCTCACTCATCTAGTCTCCAGTTCTGAATGGTCACTTTTGTGTGAGGGACAGCTGAGAGAGGTCCCAGCTCTGCCCTCTTGTCTGAGTTTTAACCACAGAGCCAGCACCTCTGCTGGTTGTCCCTCGAGCCCCCCATCCCTCTGCCTGGAAACAAACGCAGCCGCCCCACGTGGGGATCCAGCCCCGCCCTCTCCTCCAGAATGCCTCGGTCAGCCAGTAGGGCCTTCTTTAGCCTCTGGCCTCTGCTTTCTCCTGACACTCCACCTGCCTGCTCTACACGCTTGGACTATGACAGCATTTTCTCACTGACTCCCTGGTCTCCTTCCTTCAAGTCCATCTTATTTTCTGCTGCCCAGAGTACTCTCTTTGCTCTCTTGCTTTAAAAAGCATTATTCATGCATAATCGCCAACAGGTGGTAACAACCCACATATCCATTGACAAATGAGTGGATAAATAAAATGTGGTATATCCATACAATGGGATATGGCATATTTATACAATAGAACATTATTTGCAATAAAAAGGAATGAAATTCTGATACATGCTGCGACATGAATGAACCTTGACAACATTATGCCAGGGTTGAAATAAGCCAGACACAAAAGACAAATACTGCACAATTACATTTAGATGAGGTATCTAGAATTCATAGTGATAGAAAGTAGAACAGTGGTTGGCAGGGAGTGGGGGAATGAGGAGTTACTGTTTAATGGACTAGAGCCACTATTTTCAACCAGTGTGCAGCGGCACACTGGTGTGTCATAAGAATTTTTAAGACATGCAATACCTGGTATGTCATCAGGGACACTGACCTCTTTTCCCTTAAATTGTCGAAGAAAAAAATGACAACAACCAACACAACAATAACTGTCTGGTGTAAATGACAATTATACCTAATTTTTTGTTTTGTTTTGTTAGATTGGCAAAAAAAAAAAAAAATTTTTTTTTTTTTTTTTGGTGTGCCACAGAATATTAGTAATGAGTTCATGTGTGCTATGAGATGAAAAAGGTTGAAAATCTCTGGGCTAGAGTTTCAGTTTGGGATATGAAAAAGTTTCTGGAGACGGATGGTGGTAATAGTTACAGGAGAATGTGAATGTACACTTAATGGTTAAGATGGTAAATTTTATGTGTATTTTAGCACTTTACAAAATTAAACAAATAAAAAAATCTGTTTTCTTCACTATCTATCTCGCCCTTCCCCCAACCTAACAACAAAAGCCCACCATTGTTGGGAACCACACCACCACCCACCAGGAATTATAGCCTGTAGGCAACCAGAAATCCATCTCTGTGGGCTGGAGGTATTCTGAGGCCCACGGGATCGGGCTGGAGACGAGGCCCGGACTCCTCAACATGATCTGTTCCAGCCACAGTGGCTGACTCATGCCAATCCTCCCACCCAGAACACACCACCCACCCACCCCTGACTCTCTACAGTGGCCTTTCTATACCCCAGGACTCTGGAAGCTGCCCCCTTCTCTCCTCTGATCTCCAACAGCACCCACTGCCTGTCCCCCTCTGGAACTCGCTGATGCGACCTCCTTCTGCATGGCATCTTCTAGCTCAAGCAGCTCTGTGCTCTCACTAAGCACTGCCTCCTTGCCTAGAAGAATCACAGTACAAGTGCTACTGGGCACAGGCGAGACCCCTCGGTCTGCTGGTGACTCCAAGGGACACTTAAGGACAAGACAGGTGTTCCAGGTCTGGAATGAGCAAGGTTCTTCCAGGTTTCCAGGAAGGGGGCAGAGTATATGAATCACAGATGGGCCAGTCCAGGGTCTAGTATTTCCAAAGGATGGTTTCTGAGCCCTTTAAAAAGGAAGCAATGATTGCCATCAGTTCAATAAATATAGTTCAGGGCCTTATTTACTTGGTTTTAACTTCTTTTTAAAGTAACAGCTTTATTGAGATATAATGTATATCATAAAATTCATTTTTAAAATTTGAATTCACTTTAGTGAATTCAAATAGTGATGGTGTGCAGCCACCATCACTATTTAATTCCAGAGCATTTTCATCACCCAAAAATAAGTCTGTATGGTTATTCCCATTCCCCTCTCCCCCACACCACCCCCTAGCAACTGCTAGTTTGTTTTCTGTCTTTATGTATTTGCCTATCTGGACAGTTCAGATAAATGGAATCATACCATATGTGACCTTTTGTATCCGGTTTCTTTCATTTAGCATAATGTTTTCAAGGTTCATCCATGTTGTGGCATATGTTAATCGGCACTTTATTCCTTTTTATTTATTGCCAAATAATGTGCTATTGTATAAATACACTATATTTATCCAGTCATCAGTTGATAGACATTTGAGTTGTTTCCACTTTTGGTTGTTATAAACAATGCTGCTGTCACACTCACGGACAAGTTTTTGTGTAGACATACGTTTTCATTTCCCTTAGGTATATATCCAAGAGTGGAATTGCTGAGGCACATGTTCATTTGCTTTTGAAACAAGATTGTCAAGCTAGTCCAACAGAAAGCCACAGCTAACCTGTTATCTCTGCCAGGGTGAGCCAGGCCCCTCTGATAGGCTGCTGGGGGATAGATAAACAGGTCATAGATGCCTATACAATTAGGTGGGTTTGCTATTGGGTGTAGAGCAACCTAGAAAGGGTGCCAACTATCACATTTGCTGGTGACACAAAGCTGGGGCAGAAGCAAGGCCCAAAAGATCTCAGCAAACTGGTGATGTCCAGGGATAAATCAGAGCAAGGAAGAGCTCATATTATCTAGCAATTCCACTTCTGGGTATACACCCAACAGTATTGAAAGCGGGAACGTGGCCCGGCCAGCATGGCTCAGTGGTTGAATGTCAACCTATGAACCAGGAGGTCACAGTTCGATTCCCGGTCAGGGCACATCCCCGGGTTGCAGGTTCAATTCCCAGTGTAGAGCATGCAGGAGGCAGCTGATCAATGATTCTCTTGCATCATTAATGTTTCTCTCTCTTTCTCCCTTTCCCCTCCTCTCTGAAATCAATAAAAATATGTATTTTTTAAAAAGAAAGAAAGCAGGGACTCGAACATGTTTATAGCAGCATTATTCATAATAGTCAAAGGTGAAAACAACTCAAATGCCCATTGATGGATGACTAAATAAACAAAATGTTGTGTGTACTTACAGTGAAATATTATTCAGTTTTAAAAAGGAAAGAGCCCGGCCAGTGTGGCTCAGTTGGTTGACCGTCAACCCATGAACCAGGAGGTCATTGGTTTGATTCCTGGTCAGAGCACATGCTTGGGTTGCGGGCTCAATCCTCAATAGGGGGCAAGCAGGAGGCAGTCAATTGATGTATCTCTCTCATCGATGTTTCTTTCTTTCTATTCCTCTCCTTTCCTCTCTAAAAATCAATTTAAAAAAACATATTTTAAAATGGAAGGAAATTCTGGCACATGCTACAACATGGACAAATACTGTATGATTCCACTTATACGAGGTATCTAAAATAGACTCACAGAGACAGAAAGTAGAATGGTGGTGGGAATGGAATGGGGCGCTATTATTTCATTGTTACTGTTAACAGAGTTTCAGTTTTACAAGATGAAAAGAATTGTGGAGATGGATGGTGGTGATGGTTGCACAACAACGTGAATACACATAATGCCACTGAAACTGTGCACTTAATAATGGGTAAAATAGTAAAATTTATACCTTATCACAATTTTTTTAAAGGCAAGCTCGCAAAACTAAGTCCTCCTCGCCCTCTTCGCAGGTGCAGGTTTGGGAGGAAAGGGCTCAGTGGCATGTGCCATGACATTTGGAGATTTGCCAGGCGTCAGTGAGTTTGAGGGCTGCCCAAAACCCATGGGTAAAATCGTGGCGGCGAGAAGGAAAAGTCCCAAATCCTGGATAAAGGGGGCGCAGTACTCCCCAGCCCACAATAGTCAGCTCCACTCCAGGCTGATCCCAACATGGGGGACATGGGCCTGGTCAGTGGGGAGCACCGGGAAGGGGGTTGGTGTTTAAGACCCCACACCAGGATTAGAGTAGAAGGAACCTGGAGCACCTGGCGCCGGGAAGCAGAGAGCTGTCCTCAGATTGTGCGTTTACTTCCCAGGAACCTTTCCGAAGGACGGCGAGGACTGGGCTCTGTGCGTGGCCAGGACAGAAGCGGCCTTAGCCAACACAAGGAAGAGCTCTCTGGCAAAAACAGGCGACTAGGAGGAGACCTGAGAAAGGAGAGCTCTTACAAACAGGCCACGGGACAGTCTCCATTACAGGGAGTCCTAGTCAAAGTAAACAGGCTTCTTTAGGTGGAACTTTCCAGAGCCTTCCATACAGTCATGTGTCTGAGACTTAGCAGAGGAAAACAGCACACAGACTCGTCTGACCACTGGTCTCTGCCTCTGGGAATTTCCACCGGAGGAGGCACAACGGGCAACCTGGGGTACCAAAGAGAATACTTTGGGAAACACTTCCCTGG